CCAGGCTCCTGGATGACATTTCTAGACACACCCTGGGCCACAAAGTAACCTGATACCTTGAAGAGAAAGACCCAGTCATGACAGGACCAACACCTGCTGAATAAAGGGCCGCTGGGCCATGAATAACCAGCAGCAATACCCAGAAACTATGCCATGGGCCTCTGGGTGAGACTCTGAGATGTGCTGGCTTAAGGTAAGATACAGCACATTCCCCACTGTGGTAGCTACAATGACAGACTTCATCTACTTGATAAAAGCAAAGGGAAAAGTAAAGGAGATTTTGCCTGGCACCTTAGGTACCAGCTCAGCCACAGGGGGTGGAGCACCATGAGGGGTCCTAAGTCCCTTGGCTCTTGGATGGCATTTCTGGACCTGCTCTGGGACTGCCCTGAAGAGTGAGTCTCAGGCCCGGCAACCTTCACCATGAGCTGACTGAAGAGCCCTGGGGACTTAAGTGAACATCAGTGGAAACCTAGAAGTATGTCCTGTGGGTCTGTAGTGCTGGTGGCCACAGATTGAGGCTCCTCTGCCTGTGGAAAGTGGAGGGAAGAATGGGAAGAACTGCACCTCATGCTTTGACTGCCAACTCACAGCTGTATAACAGAACACCAAGTAGACTTCTAAGGTTTCTCACTCCAGTCTGTGGCTCCTAGATGGCATCTCTGGACACATCTGGGGTCTGGAGAACTCGCTGCCCCGAGGAAAAGACACAAACCTATCTTGCTTTTCTACCTGCTGATCGTACAGCTACAGGGCCTTGGGCAAACATAGTCAGTAGCCAGATGGTGGTAACAGCAGGACAAGACCTAGTGCTGTGCAGGCTTCAGGTCTGACTAGCACAGTCACAGTGGTAGAGGACACAGGGTTGCTTGTGTCACTCTATTCCCAGCTTTAGGTAGCTCAGAACAGACAGAGAGAGATTCTGTTTGTTTGGGAGAAAGTAAGGGAAGAGAACAAGAGCCTCTGTATGGTAATCCAGAGAATTCACCCACATCTTGTCCAAGACCATCAAGGCAGTACCTCTGCAGGTCTGCAAGAACCAAGCATTACTAGGTTTAGGGTGCCTCCTAAAGCAGATACAGCTTAGATCGCAACACTCAAGTCCTTTCAAATATCTGAAATAAGCCAAGCATAGAAAGATAAACATCACTTGTTCTCACTTATCAGTGGTACCTAAAAATTAAAAGAATTTAACTCATGGAGATAGAGCGTAATCTGAGGGTGTGAAGGGTGGTGGGGGTGGAAGGAATGGGGATGGTTGATGGGTACAAACAAACAGAAAGAATGAATAAAACCTAATATTTGCTAGCACAACACGGTGACTGTAGTTACAGTAAAAAATAATTTGATGGTACATTTTAAAATAGCTAAAAGAGTATAATTGAATTGTTTGAAACACAAAGGATAAACGCTTGAGGGGATGAATACCCCATTTACCCTGATGCGATTATTACTCAATGCCTGTTGGTATCAAAGTATCTCATGTACCCTATAAATATACTAACCTACAAGATACCTATAAAATTTTTCAATTAAGAATTTTTAAAAACAATAAAAATAATAAAAAATAAATACATTGTTATCATTACAACCTTGGGGTAGGCAGGCAAAGATTACTTAAAGAGGATACAAAAGGCACTAAGCATAAAAAAATAAGAAATTGGAATTCATTAAAATTTCAAACTTCAGCATAAAAAGACAAGTCACAGACAAGGATTAATACTCCCAATATCTATTATCTGACAATGGACTCATAGCCAAAATATGCACAAATTCCTACAACTCAATTACTAAAAAAAAAAAAAATTCAAAAATGAGTAGAAGACTTGAACAGACATGTCACGAAAGAAAATATGAGATCTAATACACATGTGGAAAAGGGCTCAATATTATTGATCATCAGGGAAATACAAATTAAAATCATAACAAGACACCATTTTATATTTATTAGAATGGTTAAAAGTAATGAGACTGACAACACCAAATGACAACAAAAATGTGAAGCAACTGGAAAACTTATGAACAACTGTAAAAGTATTATAGAGGTATTATTTACAATAGCCCAAAACTGGAGACCACCCAAATATTCATCAACAGAAAAAAAAACACATTTTATTATATTCATACAATGGAATCCTACTTAGCAATAAAGAAGACCCAACTACTGTTATATGCAACAATAAACATGAATTTCAAAAGCCTTAGGCGAAGCGAAACCATATACAAAAAAGCCACATCCTGGCCAGTTGCGGTGGCTCACACCTGTAATCTCAGCACTTTGGGAGGCCAAGACGGGCAGATCACCTAAGGTTGGGAGTTCAAGACCAGCCTGGCCAACCTGGAGAAATCCTATCTCTACTAAAAATACAAAATTAGCCAGGCATGGTGGCGCATGCCTGTAGTCCCAGCTACTCAGGAGGCTGAGGCAGAAGAATCGCTTGAACCTGGGAGCGGGAGGGTGCAGTGAGCTGAGATCGCGCTATTGCACTCCAGCCTGGGCAACAAGAGTGAAACTCTGTCTCCAAAAAAAAAACAAAGCTACATCCTGTATAATCCTATTCATTTGAAATTTAAAAACATGTAAAACTCATTATGGTGACAGAAATCACAACGATTTTCTATGGGTATGGGATGAATCAGAAGGGGGCCCAAGGAAACTCTCTTGGAGGATGGAAATGCTATTTAGTTTGATTGGGTTACGATTACATAGGTATATATATTTATCAAAAATCACTAAACTATATACTGAAAATCTATGCATTTCATTGTATGCATAATTTTAGCTCAACAAAGTATTGTCAGGGAGAAAAAGAAAAAACAAAACAACTTAACCAGACTTCTAGTTCAGGATGTCAGAATGACCACAGTATTTTTCTTCTCCCCATAAATGGGTACTAGGAGGGAAAATGAGAGGATGTTCTGGATCACTGGTATTGTTCTAGTTATCTTGTCCTGAATGATGATTATATAGGTGTTTCAACTTTGGGATAATTTACCTATTTATACTCATGATTTGTACATTCTTCTATATATATGTTATATCCAATTGTTTAAAATGAGCCAATGAATCAGGTACACCCTACAATCCACCGCTGTACAAAAGTTCTATCTAGCTACTGAATTTTCGCTAAGGATGTTAAATTTACCAAATAACGGTTTGGTTTCTAAATCAAAACAAAAGTGAAAACACTCCTTAGCTCTGATGATCTGCACTAGTCCCACTGTAGGCCTAAAATACCAGCTTTTCAGCTCCCAATAAAATGCACACATGAAAGTGACTTCACAAAAGACTGTAAGATAGATACACTCTAGGTAACTGCTAAGCATCCCAATAATATATGAACACATTTTCTTATCCCATCATTACCCTGATATTCTATAGTATGTTTGCTGAAAATGTATCCACCAGGCTTCTCAAAATAAACTGTAACTTTTTTCTGAGACGGATTCTTCCTCTGTCACCCAGGCTGGGGTGCAGTGGCGCCATCTCAGCTCACTGCAAGCTCCGCCTCCCAGGTTCCAGGTTCACACCATTCTCCTGCTTCAGCCTCCCGAGTAGCTGGGACTACAGGCGCTGGCCACCACATCGGGCTAATCTTTTTGTATTTTTAGTAGAGACGGGGTTTCACCGTGTTAGCCAGGATGGTCTCAATCTTCTGACCTTGTGATTCGCCCATCTCAGCCTTCCAAAGTGCTGGGATTACAGGCGTGAGACACTGCACCTGGCCAATAAACTGTAACTTCTATACAATTTATGTGTCAGAGAGCTTGTTTTTGCCAAACCTTCATTTGGACCTCTGCTAGACTACCAAATTCCCTGAATATTTTTTGAGAATAACAACATGTAAAATCTGATGCTGAAGTGTTGTGGAGGTAGCTAAATTCAAACATCAAATATATATAATGCAGGCAATTAACACAACTATTCTATATTATCTGATGGTATTTAGCATTAGAGAAAACAGGTTGGTTAATCAAGACAAATAAAGGTCAAGGTCACAAAGGAATTGGTGGGGATGGGGTGGTTTGGTGAGTTTAAGTGAAATGACTAACTATGGGATCTGAGAGTAAAAGAGGAGAAAATGAAACCAAGAGACTTAAATTACTAGGACCAAAAATCAAACAGCACACTTATCACAATTCAAGCAGCAAAAGTGGTAGAAAGGCAAGATGTTATAGTGAAAAAAGAAGAGTTTCAGAGTTCAAGACATATTTCATCTAAATTGTATACCTGAAAATGAATATAGGAGTATCTACCATTAGAATTATCAACCTATTGTATGGTTCCTGACCCAAAGTAGAATCTGAATAAATAAAAGGTAACTGTTATAAGTTGATGAAATAAATGCAAATTACTTTTAACTTTTACCTAGAAGACAATTACAAACTCACATCTACTGAGAAAAAAAATAAAACTTATTCCAAGCCAACTATAAATAACATATAGCCCAAATGATATTTTTAGATTATCCAATCAAATGTTCTCTTCTTTTCTTAAGGCTAAATTAAAGTTGATTGGACAGATATTACACATGCAAATATATAACTATATATACTCAAAACAAAATTTCACTTTTTTCTGGAGCAATTTTAAATCACAAGTACCATGGTTTATATAATTTTTTTCTACATCTGACGATTTCTACACTGTCCTTATAACTCAATATTGACTACAATGAGATTAACCACAAATCTAAAGGTGGCAGATTACTTATAAAAATAGATTTGCTCTTCTTACTGCAGACACAGCCAAAGCAAGAAAACAGTATTCAGTAAGACAATAGAATTTTTAGTACTCACAAACAATGGGAAAGATTAAATAATGTTAACAGTGAAGTTTGGTCTTGGCACCACATTAACTCATTAGGTGCCATATTACACATTATACATTCATAGCATCAACTGATTCCTGAATGCAAATTTTAACAATTCTCCAATCAGCAAATGTATTAACCGCAGCTCTGCCAATGATAAAATGATATTTAAGGCAATATTCTTACCTGCCTCAACAGTTTCTCAATGGCCGACATTACCATAAGGCCTCTCCAAACTACTGGTTCATTTTCTTCAACCAGAAAGCCCATAGACATACTGCAACAGTAATACAAAAATACAACTAATTTGTATAAATTAATCAATATTATTCAGAAAAGAAACATTAAAAAAAATATATGCTCACCAAGCAATACCATAATTCAAGAGAGGCCTCATTAGGTTGCCTGGAAAAAAAAAAACAAAATCCTCTTTTAGAAGAATAAAACACAATATGTCAACATTCTGAATTGGGTTTTTTTTTTCATCTTTTTAGAAATATTATTTTTTCAATTAACAGAAATTGCATATGTTTATGGGGTACAATGTAATGTTATGATACATGTCTACATTGTGGTAGAATAATAAAAATAAATAATAAAACCATGCCAATTAGCATTCCACATCACCTCACTTACTTTTTTCTTTGCAGTAAAAACATTTAAAGTCTACTCTTGTAACAATGCTGAAATATACAAAAAATGATTGTTAACAATAGTCACCATGCTGTGCAACAGATCACTGGAACTTATTCCCCCCTCTAACTGAAACTTCGCACCACTTGACTAACATCTCCCCTTTGCCCATCCATCCTTCCAGGATCAAAGAATACCAAACTGGAAATACAAATAGGCTGCTCATATTGTGCAATTTAACTTTCAACTAAATATACCTCAATTTGCAACAGTTTAAACATTATACCAAGCATACTACTAATATTCCCAATAGACACAACATTGATAAATAGTTGAGACATAATTTTATTAAGAAATAATTCAAATAAAATTTTAAATATGTTTCTAAGAAACAGCCTCAATATCAGGCACAATTGCTCACACCTGTAATCCCAGCACTTTGGGAGGCTGAGGTGGGTGGATCACTTGAGGTCAGGAGTTCGAGACCAGCCTAGCCAACATGGTGAAATCCTGTCTTTACTAAAAATACAAAAATCAGCTGGGCATGGTGGTACACGCCTATAGTCCCAGCTATTCAGGAGGCTAACATGAAAGAATCACTTGGACCTGGGAGGCAGACATTGCAGTGAGCCCACATTGCGCCACTGCACTCCAGCTGGGTGACAGAGCAAGGCTCTGTCTCAAAAAAAAAATAAATATCCTCAATAAAATAACTCAACTACAATTTTACAATTTTTCTAAAAAATAGCCCCAGTAACTAATTTTGCCCACCAATTTTATTCATATACAAAGATACATAAATAGAAAAATTTTATATATATGCTAATCTAATATGTGCATACATATATGTGTATATTTGCATGCACACATACACATCTAATCAGTCCTTCCTACACTGGAGTGTTACTAGTTATTTGTTCCTTTACTTAGCTTAAAAAGTGTAAAAATCCACAAAAGTAGACAAACTCAATTTTGAAATCTGAGATGAAAAATTGCATTAATCTGTAGAGAAAAGCAATCTACTGCTTATGGTGAAATAAAAAAAAATTATATAGGCAACAAATGGTTACAATAAAATATAATTTGTGTTATCAAACTATGCAATCACCTTCACACCCACTCTTGCTTTCATATCCTACTTCTCCACCATAACAAACTACCACAGAAGCCATCTTAATTAATATGATTTGGACAAGTATTGAGCAAAAAGTTTAGAACAAAGTCATAAAACCTAGTAGTATCCTGTTTTCAGATTTCAAGATACGTTCTTCAGGGTTTTTCTCCTCTGTAAAGAGACTGAGACTGAAAACTGTATAAAGCATATATGCATGGATTATATAAGAAATCCTCGGCCGGGCACGTTGGCTGATGCCTGTAATCCCAGTGCTTTAGGAGGCCGAGGAGGGTGGATCACGAGGTCAGGAGATCGGGACCATCCTGGCTAACATGGTGAAACCCCGTCTCTACTAAAAATACAAAAACTTAGCCAGGTGTGGTGGCAGGCACCTGTAGTCCCAGCTACTCAGGAGGCTGAGGCAGGAGAATGGCATGAACCTGGAACCTGGAAGGCAGATATTGCAGTGAGTCAAGATCGTGCCACTGCACTCCAGCCTGGGCAACAGAGCAAGACTCCGACTCAAAAAAATAAAAAAAGAAAGAAATCCTCTGCCATACTTCATTCATTGAATCCCTACTCATAGAAAAAGCCATGGTCCTTCATTAAAGGAATATGCAAAGAGTATATGTTTATAGTTTTCTTCTTTAATTTCTGACTAAACTAACTAGTTCAATCTCCCCATACCTAATTTGAAAGCAATATATTTTTTCTATGTAATTTTCTCAATTCTTTCCAAAGCATCCAATTATAACCTTTCACTATCAGGGTTGGCAATATTTTCTGCCATTTTCTTCAATTACCATATGAATACAGATTAAAGAATCTGAATTATCACATGGTTTTTCACTTTTGATCTGCTAAAACCGTGAGTTACACTAAGAGATTTTTCCTAATTTGGAACCAAACTTGCTTTCCTGGATTAAACCCAATATAATTTTAATGTAGTTATTTTATACAATGCTGAATTTGGTCTGCTAATATTTGCTTAACATGATACCAGTATGTCAAAGAGATATCTGCACTCCTATGTTTACTGCAGCACTATTCACAACAGTCAAGATATGAAATCAACCTAAATGTCCAACAATAGATGAATGGATAAAGAAAAGTTGGTATATAGACACAACAGAATACTACGCATCCACTAAAAAGAATGAAATCCAACTAACTAGGGAGGTGAAAAATCTCTACAATGAGAATTACAAAACACTGCTCAAAGAACACAGAGATGAGACAAATAAATGGAGAAGCATCCCATGCTCATGGATAGGAAGAATCAATAACATTAAAATGGCTATACTCCCCAAGGCAATTTACAGATTCAATGCTATTCCTATCAATCTACCAATGACATTCTTCGCAGAACTAGAAAAAACTATTTTAAAATTCACAGGCAACCAAAAAATAGCCCAAATAGCCAAGGCAATCCTAAGCAAGAAAACAAAGCTGGAGGAATCATGCTACCCAACTTCAAACTATACTACAGGGCTACCATAACCAAAACAGCATGCTATTGGTACAAAAGCAGGCACATGGACCAATGGAACAGAATAAAGAGCCCAGAAATAAGGCCACACAACTACAACCATCTGATTTTCAATAAAGCTGACAAAAACAAGCAATGGGGAAAAGATTCTCTATTCCATAAAAGGTGCTGGGATAAGTGGCTAGTCATAAGTAGAAGATTGAAGCTGGAACCCTTTCTTACACCACATATAAAAATCAACTCAAGATGGATTAAAGACTTAAATGTAAAAGCCAAAACTATAAAAATCCTGCAAGACAACCTAGGTATTGCCATCCTGGACATAGGAATGGGCAAAAATTTCATGACAAAGAAAGCAAAAGCAATCACAACAAAAGCAAAAATTGAAAAGTGGGATCTAATTAAACTTAAGAGATTCTGCACAGCAAAAGGAACTATCAACAGAGTAAACAGACAACCTATAAAATGGTAGAAAACCTTTGTAAATTATACATCTGACAAAGGTCTAACATCAAGCCTCTATAAGGAAGTTAAATTTATCAGAGAAAAACAAACAACCCCATTAAAAGTGGGCAAAGGACATGAACAGATATTTCTCAAAAGAAGACATACATGCAGCCAACACACATATGAAAAAAAATCAATATCACTGATCATGAGAGAAATGTAAATAAAGATCACAATGAGATACCAACTCACACCAGTCAGAATGGCTATTATTAAAATACCAGAAAATTACAGATGTTGGCAAGGTTACGGGGAAAAGGCAACACCTACACACTAGTGATGGAAGTGTAAATTAGCTCAACCATTCTGGAAAGCATATGGTGATTCCTCAAAGAGCTAAACACAGAATTACCATTCAACCCAGCAATTCCATTACTGGGCATATACCCAGAGGAATATAAATCATTCTACCATAAAGACACATGCACACGAATGTTCACTGCAGCACTATTCACGATACCAAAGACATTAAATCAACCTAAATACCCATCAATGACAGATTGGATAAAGAAAATGTGGTACATATATACCATGGAATACCAGGCAGTCACAAAAAAAAAAAAAAAGATCATGTCTTTTGCAGGAAGATGGATGGAGCTGGAGGCCATCATCCTTAGCAAACTAATGCAGGAACAGAAACCCAAATACCACGTGTTCCCACTTACAAGTGGAAGCTAAATGATAAGAACTTACAGACACAACGAAGGAAACAAGACAGTGGGGTCTACCTGACAGGGGAAAATGGGAGGAGGAAGAGAGCAAAAAATATAACTATTGAGTACTAGGTTTAATATCTGGGAAATGAAATAATATGTACAACAAACCCCTGTGATATATTTAGCTAAGTAACAAACCTTCATATGAACTTGCAAACATAAAATAAAAGTTTAAAAAATAAAAGGAATGAAATTCTGTCATTTTCACACACATGAATAAGCCTGGAGGACATTAAGTGAAATAAGCCAGACACAGAAATTCAAATCCTACATGCATTAACAATAATGTATTATGTATCTCAAAATAGCTTATAATATTTTAAATGTTCCCACAATAAGGAAATAATGTTTGAAGTGATTAATCTCCTCATTACCTTGATTTAATTATGATACAATGCAATATATATACCAACACATAAAATTGTGCACCATAAATATATACAACTATGTGTCAATTAAAAATAAAACTAAAGCCAGGCACAGTGGTACATGCCTGTAGTCTTGGCTACTCAGGAGGCTGAGGTGCGAGAGTCAATTGAGCCCAGGAGTTTGAGTCCAGCCTGAGTAACATAGTGAGACCCCATGTCTAAAAATAAAATAAATAAAAATCATTTTAAAATTTAATAAATAAGGAGCAGGGCAAGATGGTGAAATAGGAACAGCTCTGGTCTGCAGCTCCCAGCAAGACCAATGCAGAAGGCAGGTGATTTCTGCATTTCCAACTGAGGTACCCAGTTCATCTCACTGGAACTGGTTAGACAGTGAGGGCAGCCCACTGAGGGTAGGCAGAAGCAGGGTGGGGCATCGCCTCACCTGGGAAGTGCAAGGGGCTGGGGACCTCCCTCCCCTAGCCAAAGGAAGCCCTGAGGGACTGTGCTATCCAGCTCAGCTACTAGGCTTTTCCCACGGTTTTTGTAACCTGTAGACCAGGAAATTCCCTTGAGTG